CCATGGATGTCGGCAGGTGCATGGTAAGCGAGTCTTGCAGTCTATGTTCGACCGGGAGACCTCGCTTGTATTGTGTGATTGCAAGGTTGACCGGGCAATCCAAAATCTCATTGAAGGTCTCCCAATATCTAGAGTTGTATACCTTCAATGTGTCGCTCGGTTCCATTTTGACACTCAGTAGGTGGTCAACTTCCTTTGGTGTTTTCGTGTTGGTTTTGAAGCGCGTCACGAAGGCCTCGGCCAACTGATGCCACCTTTCTATGCTCCCCTCCGGCAACCTCTCGAACCATTTCAAGCCCAGTTCACCTAAACTTGACGGGAAGATAAGGCACATAAGTGCGTCATTCCGCCTATGCCCGGCCATGACCTGTCGGAAGTGACTCACATGCATGTAGGGATCGGTTTTCCCGTCGTAGAGTGTGAATTTAGGCTGGTGGAAGCCTGCCAGAAGCGGTGTCGTTTCTATCTCCAAGGAGAAAGGGGTGGCGCTCAGCCTTGCCAAGTCTGTATCTAGAAGGAGTGGCGCTGCTTGGCGGGGTGGAGGCATTCTGAGCTCCTCGCTGGCGTGAACCCCATAGGATAGCCATTGGAACGCTGGCACCCTTTGAGCCTCCCGCCGGTGAGCTCGTTCCTTCAAGACTGTCCGCAAATCCTCTGAACGAGCGGAATAAGAATACCTCGACGTCGTTGCCGAACGTGAGGGTCGATAGGTGCTGTCTTGCGCGCTGGACTTCTCCTCGTGCAGGTCGGAATCTCCAACCTTGTAACTTCTGGTGATGGAAATGGACGCAGTGTGTCGTTGACTCTGACTGCCTGAACGGCGGGGTTGGGTGCGCTCACTGTTGTCTCCCACTCCAGCTACACCCTTCCTTTTAACATGCCACTTCAGTTCCTCCATCTCCACCGCCATTTGCCGGATGACGGCGTCTTGGTCCCTTAACTTGTGTTCCAGACGTCTGGCATATGATTCTCTCCGCTGTCGATGACCATCTGGACTCCGTGAATGACTATAACTTCTTCCGCGCTTATCCCGCGCATCTCTTGAATGTCCTCCTAGAGAAGTCTCCAGGTCTGCCATCGGAGGAACGATAGTGGGATGCCCTTCTCTCCGTCTACCTGACTCCGGGATAATTCCGTCGATGGCAAACAATGGAATCTCGTCGTTGTTCTCCATGGACGGCGATCGAATGAGCCTGGAAGACAAGGTTTTGTCTATCAAGTTTTCCACAGACGGCGCCAATTGTGCGAGGAGCAAATATTCAGACAAGCCCGCACTCCTTTTTTCCAAGCTTCTCCTTGTCCGATCGACCTGCGAGCACAACGGCGGTGAGTTACCCAGCGGTGTGTGGCCAGAAAAGCCCTCTGACGATTAAGTTAGACACACACATAGGGATATAGAGGGAGTGAGAGGAGGGCGTTGAGTGTTTAGTGTATGTCTCACCAAATTGTCATCTGTCTAGGCATGGGGGGCACAGACCCACTTATATACCTTCTGCGCCCCAAATCTACTCCAATTCGCCTCTCGACACGTGGTGCTGCTATTCCATCCATCAGCACAAATCTTGCTGTACATTACCTAACCCAACTGCCAGCCCACTCTGCTGGGAGCTCGGCAACCGGGGTACAGCACCACGGCCGTCGACATCCAGGCTGCACTTCATGCCCAAGTGTAGCAATAGCCGAGCTCCGTCCCTATCGTGCTCGACTGCATTTCGGCGAAGTCGAGCTCCGGAAAGGTCATGCCGATCAACCAAAGGCTTTCTTGCCGAGCTTCTGGCACGGGCTTCCCTGCCGAGCCAAAGGCGTATGCCTTCTGGCCGAGCAATGCAAGTTGCACGGTCACCACCGGTGCGAGTAGTTCAGCCACGGGCCGAGCAGTCCCAACTCCGGGCAAGTCCTAAGCTATCTCGGCCCAACACGCCCTTGGGCCTTCAACTTGCTCGACTTTTATCTCGGCCCACTTCCGGCTCATAAATCTCCCTCTCAATAGACATCGACATATATAAGATATTACAAAAATAATATGTGAAATTTTTTGTAACAATATAATACAGGTAACAATAATTATTCATAATTAAATAGTTGCTCATAATGTAGACGTTTAGTTTTACGTTTTTATATGTATGCACCATTTCTTAATTAGATTAAATTCACATAAAAATTGAAAGGAATTTGAGAATAATTTGTGTAAAATTAGAAATAAGTGAAGAAAAATTTTAAAAAAAGAATAATTTGGTTTGTTTTTTCAAACTTTTATTTTGAATTTTTGAATTTTCATGTTTTTTTTTTTCTTTGACACTTTTTTTTAATAACTAGTTTATTTTCTTTTTAGATTCACTTAATTTGATACTTATTTTTTATTTTTAAATTTTTTTTAAAATTTTGATTCACTTAATTTGAATATACTTAGAAAATAATTTGTTAAGTATTATTTTTGGAAAAAAAATATTAATATTAAATAATAATAATAAATAAATCAGTACATGTTTAAATTTATAATTTTTTATCAATATTTTACTTTTTAATTCTATTTAGATTATTAGATATTAGATTTTCATGTAAAAGTATAATTTAAATATAAAATATGAAGAAATTTCAATATCTTTAATTACCAAAATTGAGAAAATAAGAAAAATCAAAAATTGAAAAATCGATTCAAAAAATAAAACTAATGAAAGTAGTTATTGTTTAAAATTTTGACATCATACATTGGTTATTAAAGGGTCATGTAAAATGTTACAGTTCATAAAATATAATTTAAACAAAAAGAAAGTGTATAGAGATAACTTGCAAATTTTAAGATGCAGCACAAATAGCTATTTTAAAAACACATGCATTTTCCTCTGTTTAGATTCGAACAAATGCATAAAACTTTAAGATTCAACCAAAATTATTCACAGTGATTTGATTTATTTTTTTCGTCACAGATCACTTTAGTGATGAAATTTTGATGTTTGGAGACAAAATCAGTCTGTCACCAAATGCCTTTTTTGTTGTAGTGTATGTATATTCAGTATAAAAGTAAACACAAAAAATAAGAAAGAGTAATTATTTTTTGTTTTTCAATCATCATTAATGTAAAAAATAAGGAGGCAACTTTTTCTTTTTCTTTTTCTTTTTCTTTTTGATAAGAAGAGAAATGGTTTGTTTATATTTATATAGGATTCTCAGAAATAGATGTATCGTTTTTGGGTATTCAACTCTAAAAATAAAGAGATATATAGTTGGTTTCTATTTGGCTCTTCATAGAAAATATGACAGACTTTTCACACTTTTATAATAAAATAATAACAATAGTAGCAGATGGAGGAATTTTGAAATTCAAATCTTTATCCATAAGTCATGAAATTAATTTTTATTTTAATTAATCAAACAAATAGAAAATGAAGGAAAACAGAAAACATAAAATACAATTAAAGAAAGTTGAAAACATGAAAGACAATCAAAGAAAGTTGTCACATAGGAAAGAGAGAGTTTTAAAATTATAATAATTTAATAATGAATATTTGGAGACTTTTGACAAAATAACTACATTTGATTATATATATAGTATAGATAGATATATTATAGATTAACAAATATATATAATTTATTATATATCTTTTAAGCATTAACTATAATAATATTTTTTTAGAATCCATGCTTAAAAAATAAAAATAATTTAACTAAATATGTATGCATAGTAATATATATATATATATATATATATTCTGAAAACGCTCTCATTCTCAATATATTTTTACAAAAGACGTTTTTGACTTAATATAAACCATTGCATAATAATAATTGTCAAACCCCACCAAAATCACAATAAACTCGAATCAAAATACCAACACATAAAATAACAAATTTTCTTTTTTTTTTTTGATTCCCTTGCATTGCAAAGTTTCATTATCTTGACCAGCAAATGTGCAGAAAATCAAAGTGGAAATAGGGCAGTCTCTTGCTCCTTTGGTATTCATAGAGCATTTCCAGCAAGATTAACCCAAATAGCTATTCAAAATCTCATTTTTCTATTTTACCTAATTAATTTTTGAAAATACACTAGAAAAAAAAAAAAAAAACTCTCTATTTTAGCTATCTTTTATTAAAAAATTATTTCTACCATTTTTTTTTTCTTTTTTCAAATACCAGAATATTTTTCTAACAATCAATTTTCAACAGCCATACTTTTCCAATGGCCATATTCAGATAGTTCTTGCTCCTAATATATGGATGTAGACATCAGAAATATTTATTTGTTTGTAGAATCTACCAAGTGACACTAAATTACTTGCAAAATCAAAACCCTAACATCAATCCAAAAAAAAAACCAAAAAAAGAAAAAAGAAAAAACCAACCTAACATCACCCAAATGTTGAGATTGAAAATGATTTTTTTTTTGTTTTTTTTAATAAAATGCTAGTGCACAATCCCCCACTTTCCCTCTCATGAAAATTTAGCAAAATGTCAATTTGAACCGCTAAGAGAGGATTAAGACTAGCTATTATAGTGTGGTGGGTGAAATAATTAGCCTTTTGTAGATGCTCTTAAATTTTCTTCTATATGACAGTAAAAGTTATTACTAGTTCAAAAGACAATCGATATAGGTCAAGTTTGGCGTAACCTAAATAATACAAAAAGTCAAAAAATCACTATTCTATTTAAGTCAAATCATCTTATTTAAATCACATCACCTCTCTAATACATCACATCAAACCCAACCCAAACCCAATACATATAAGCCAATAAGTCAAAAAGTACACTTTTTTAGAACATCCCAAACCAACCCATAGTGTATTCAATAGTCTTTTGCATCAACTTTTTCTAAAGGGAGGATTTTCCTTATTCCAACCACCTCTCTATCACTCAACGGGTCAATTCGACCTGATGACATTGTGCATGTATTAATTTCAGATCCTTAATTCACAAAAAATTGTTAAAACCTTGATCATATTTTTTTTGAATAAAAAATTATCATCTAAAAATTACGAGAAAAGAATTACAGAATCAGAAAAACGTAACTCAAAAAATAGCCAAAAAATAAAATATACAATGTAAATTAAAATTTAGTACACTTCATTTTCTGGCCACTAGATGGACTACTTTTTCCGACTCCATAGCATTGTTGACAATATCAAAGTGCACGATCACGACGTCTACAAACACATAGCCCCCACTTTCATGCTTCCTTTAATAATAGTAACAAAAACACTTACATCGCATGCGATCCTTCAAAGGCGCAACAGGACAGCAACACAACCAAAATATTCAAACGACACACAAACAGATAAATGATACATACAGGTGATTAGTCTGATCTGAGACTCATATGATCCCTCTGCAATTCCACAGTGTTCCAACCACTGCCCACCATGTCAATTCGCAATGCAAGCTCGGAGTCTGAATCAACTGAGAGTAAGGACCGCAGAGTCCCTATCCTTAGATTCATCTAGATAGGGAGAGTATTATGTTAGCATCTATATGAGAGTCCTATTGAGTTTGGTTGGCTGGGAAGGACACTAATGCTGTATTTAGTTGGAGAATTTAGGAAGGGATTTGAAAATAGAGAAGGAAAATATAAATGAAATGTCAATAAAATATATCTAGTTTCACACACATTTTTTCTTTCACTATCCCTATCCAAATCCCTTTTCTAATCTCCCAACCAAACACAGGTAACCAAATGCATGCCAACCCAAACGCAAAGGTATATGATCATTTCGTATATACATATATATATATATATATAGATATGCATATGCGTGAGTAAATTATTTGTCTGTGGAATCTTGTGAGGAATCTGATATCATCCTCTGAATCATTGCACTCGTCTCTGCTTCAGACATTCGGTCATCTTCTTTGCTCTGAGATTGCGAGTAGGACTCAAAGAATTCCTTGTTCTCTTTCTCCAATTCTTTCCATACTGCGTGAAAGATTCAAGTTAAGGCCATATATATTGCTATCATGATGCTTCTATCTAATCGAATGGAAGTACATAACTGAAATAGTTACTTTGCGTGTTAGTAGTCTATGCAAACTAGTGATATGGGTACAAAAGAAATTTCGACACAAGGTTTGTTGTTTAGTTTTAGAACTGAAAAGAGTGGCTATCTAGGTTAGTTTGAGTTTGATTTACTGTCCTCAAAAGCATAGGGGTGTTGAGTTTTCAGTTTGTGCAGCATCTCTTGCAAACATTTTTTTTTTTTTTTGGTTTATCTGCAAAAGTCATTTGTTAGTGCGAATTAGCTCTTAGGGAAAGTTGAACCGCCAACCTCTCACCTGCTAACGTAGGTAGTTCTTTAATTTTCTTTGTTGAGTTTACTTCCAATACAAGATTTTCCTTTTTGGTTTCTTTTCTGGTAGGGTTTCCAAACAAAGTCTGTGTTCGTGCATGCGCATGAGTGACGATTATAGGTGATTGGAAACTAACCGGTGGAAGTGATGACTGGTTCGATCTTTGCGTGCTTAGAGAGGGCTTCCATGCACTCCTCTTTAGTCATGTTGAAGATCAGGCACTTCTCTATCAGATGCTGCACCTGTATCAAGTTGTCGTAGAGCATCAAGAACCCATAAAAAAACATAACTTCATAACAAAACTAGGGCAACAAAAACTTCAAACCAAACAACAACAACAAAGCCAGTATCAGCAAACAATAAGCACCATAAATAATTTCATATCAAACACATACATTCAAACAACAAAACTCTATTTCAATTACCATGTGTATATATGAAGCAGAGTCCCCCATGATACTATCTTCGATCTTCACTGACAAATCTATACATTCAAGACAAGTAGGGAAAAAATCATAGCATGAGAAAAAAATATATAGAGAGGAAGAGTTGGTGTAATATGATGGTGGATCACGACCTAGAGAGGTGCAAGAGAATAACATAATAACAATAAATAAATAAAACAATGGTGGGGTGGGCCCAAGAGTCCCACGTGGGAGATAGATGATAATTGGTGGAGAAGGGATTAGAGGAGATTTTGTAAATGACCATTTGTTGGTCTCCTAGGGTTGCCATTAGGCAGCCCCCCTCCACGTGAAGAAGGGGTCCCCCCCATTTAGACATCTTCCGAAATGGACAAACCTACAACACCCAAATGGTATCCTCTAACAGTACCCGAGATTATCTTCTTCATCTATCGTCCTCCAATCACAGCACGCCATTTGGCATTAAGGTCGAATGTTCAAGTCATTATAGGAATTAACATGGGTACATCTGTATTTCCATGACACACAAAATTGCCAGCAAAATTAGATACAGTGATCAGCGCAACAGGAACCAAATATCTTCCAAGATCCCATGTGCTCTCAATTTCTTGCGGTTCCTTTCTGTGAACTACGCCACTGCAACTTTCGAACTTGCAATCAACTCAATGCCTTGTCTTCCTTTACATGTTGCTATCATCTCTCTCTCTCCCTCTCTGTGTGGAAAGACAGACGGTAGGAGTGTACAACTGCTACTTTGGTACTTTGGCCGATTCCTCTCTGGTTCAGTCAAGCGAGACAGCTATACACGTCTTGCAAGTATCTATTGTCTCATTGACCACTTTCATTGCATACACCAATTATATTATAGCTCGAAACACATTGCAGATTGACAACTGAGGGGGAGATTTATGATTTGGATTGGGCCGTGGTAAGGGCCAGACAAATTGTGAGCCGAACACATTTGGGCCGTAGTAGCCTAGGCCTATCTAGAAAGGATTTTCGCTCGGTAATGGCACAGTTACTGTGAAACCGAGCTACTTGCTCGGTAATGGCATAGTTGCATAATTGATGTCGTACTAGCGGTCAAGTGAGGTTCGGCCGAGATGTCCGCTGCCTCACTAGGGTTCCACGGTCCATGCGTTAGCTCGGCAGGAAGGCCGACGGCTAACCAGCATGACTTATCCCGAGCTTGGCTAAGCCGGAATGCAACCGAGCTCGGTTGTCATTGAGCTTGGCGAGCGGAGCGCTCTGGCTAGCTACGCAGCACGGCCGTTGACAGTCGAGATGCTGCAGCCCGGCTGCCGAGCTCCCAGTGGTGTGGGCTGGCAGTTAAGTGATGTTCAGCTAGATTTGTGCTGATAGATGGGATAGCAACACCACGTGTCGAGAGACTAATGGGAGTAGATTTGGGGCGCAGAAAGTATATAAGCGAGTTTGCGCCCCCACGCTGAGGCAGATGAACATTTGGTGAGATTTACACTAAACAGTTAATCCTCTCTCTCTCTATCCCTGTGTGTGTCTAACTTGATCGTCAGAAGGGGTATTCCGGCCACACACCGCCGGGTAACTCACCGCCGTTGTGCTCGTAGATCGATCGGATAGGCAGGAGCTTGAAAGAAATAAGTACGGGCTTGCCAGAATATTTGCTCCTCGTACAATTGGCGCCGTTTATGGGAACCTTGACAGACAAAACCTTGTCTTCCAGACTCATCTGATCACCGTCCATGGCGAACAACGACGAGATTCTGTTGTCTGCCATCGACGGAGTTACCCCGGAGTCAGGCAGATGGAGAGAAGGACATCCCGCCATTCCTCCAATGGCGGACCTAGAGACATCCCCAGGAGGACACTCAAGAGACGCGCGAGATAAGTGCGGAAGAAGCTTTGGTCATTCTCGGAGTCCAAACGGTCACCGGCGGCGGAGAGAATCGCATGCCAGACGACTGGAACACAAGCTAAGGGACCAAGACGCCGTCATCCGGAGAATGGCGGCGGAGATGGAGGATCTCAAGCGGCATGTTAAAGGGAATGGTGTAGCTGGAGTGAGAGACCACAGTAAGCGTACCCAACCCTGCCGTTCATGTAGTCAGAGCCAGCGGCATACTCTGTCCATCTCAATCACCAGAAGTTATAAGGTTGGAGATTCCGACGCGCATGTACAAAGGTCCAGCACGCAAGACAACACTTATCAACCTTCACGACCGGCGACAACGTTGAGGTATTCTTATTCCGTTCGTTCAGAGGATTTGCGGGTAGTCTTGAAGGAAGGGGCTCGCCGGCGGGAGGCTCATAGGGTGCCGGCGTTCCAGCGGCTATCTTATGGGGTTCACGCCAGTGAAGAGGTCAGAATGCCTCCACTCCGCCTAGCTGCGCCACTCCTTCTAGACACAGACTTGGCAAGGCTGAGCGCCACCCCTTTCTCCCTGGTGATAGAAACAACACTGCTTCCGGCAGGGTTCCACCAGCCAAAATTCACGCTCTACGACGGAAAAACCGATCCTTATATGCATGTAAGCCACTTCCGACAGGTCATGGTCGGACATAGGCGAAATGACGCCCTTATGTGCCTTATCTTCCCGTCAAGCTTGGGCTAGCTGAGCTTGAAATGGTTTGAGAGGCTTCCGGAGGGGAGCATAGAAAGGCGGCATCAGATGGCAGAAGCCTTTGTGACGCGCTTCAAAACCAACACTAAGGCACCGAAGGAAGTTGACCACCTTCTCAGTGTCAAGATGGAGCCGAGCGACACGCTCAAGGCATACAACTCTAGATACTGGAAAACCTTCAACGAGATCTTGGATTGCCCGGTCAACCTTGCAATCATGCAGTACAAGCGTGGTCTCCCGGTCGGACATAGACTGCGGGACTCGTTTACGATGCACCAGCCGACATCCATGAGCCAGCTAATGCAGCGCATCAATGAGCACATCCGAGTAGAAGATGATGAGGCAGCATCTACCGCGAAGGCAACACCGGTAGTAACAGACAAGAGGTCGGCTGGCAAGGTACACGCGGTCGGACAAGAGGCAAGCCTTAAATGACAAAAATAGCTCTGGAAAGAGTTCATCCAGGCCCTAAAACTCACTGAAAAAGGCCTGAACCAAGCTCAAGAAGTGTGAAAATAAGGGCTCCTTTGTAAGGCCAAAGATACTAGTAAATAAGACAACAAGGGAGAGGGTCACCCCTCTCCTTCTTAGGACCTCAAAACACCATCCCACCACTGAAATCCAGAGGGATTTCAGTGGTAAGAAGGCCAATACAAGGTGGTCCCGAAGCTCAACAAAGAAGGCTCAAAAAGAAGCCAAACAAGGCCCAAGAGGGGGTGGACGACTCCCAACACCAAAATGACCTTAAACAAAATTCAAAAGCATGCAAATAAAAAACTTTTTTCAGTTTATAGCTAAGCTTAAATCAGTGTTCAAGATAGGCTAAAAGTGTGTACAAAAATGGGGAATAAAAGAGGGAAAATGAGTTACCCTTGAAGACCACTTCCAAGAACACCAAACCAGCAGCCTCTTTGGATCAAAACCAGCTCAAAAACCCTTCAAACAACTCCTTAGCACCTTAGTAACCAAAGAGTAGTGTACTCCTACGTGTTTTAGTGCAAGAACAAGAACAAAAACTCACTTTGGAACACTCTAACCCACACAAATGTAGAGGGAGAAAGAGATATATAGAGAGAGTGATATATATATTTTATATATCAGATTTTTTTCAACCTTGAAATGGAATGAGAGGCCCTCTTTTATAGAGGAACAAAGGTCCAAGCTTCTCTTAGAAGCTTGGAGCAAAGGGGCCAAGCTTCTCTTAGAAGCTAAAGCAAAAAGGGTCAAGCTTCTTCAAGAAGCTAAAAAAGGTTCAAGCTTCTCTTAGAAGCTTGGAGCAAAGGGTCAAGCTTCTTAGAGAAACTAGAGCAAAGGGTTCAAGCTTCTTAGAGAAGTTAGAGCAAAGGGTTCAAGCTTCTTGGAGATGCTAAAAAAAAGGTTCAAGTTTTCTCAAGAAGCTAAAATAAGGTTCAAAAGGTTCAAGCTTCCTCAAAAAGCTAAAACAATGGTTCAAAAGGTTCAAGCTTCCTCAAGAAGCTAAAATAAGGTTCAAAAGGTTCAAGCTTCCTCAAGAAGCTAAAACAAGGGTTTGAAAGGTTCAAGTTTCCTCAAGAAGCTAAAACAAGGGTGCAAAAGGGCCAAGCCTCCCCAAGAAAAGGTCTCGGCTAGAAAAAGTGGCCGATTGATCAAAGAAATGGCTGGCCGACCAAAAACATTGCCGACCGGCCAACACTTTTGGCCGGTAGCAAGAAAACAGGGCCGGTGGCCTCAAGCCATGGCCGGTGAGGTGTGGGGATGGTCAACAAGCCATTCCCTGCCCTTAGAAGCAAACACACAAGTGTTTGGTCTGTAACCGAGCACAAAACAAACAAGTCGAGAGATCTCGAGGCAAGGCGCGCGGCCGAAACCTCTGAGAACTCAAGATGAACACGAATATGGATAATCATCGAGTGTTCAAACGATGACGTCCAAGTCTTGAGGACGGTCAAAAATGGGGTGTCTACACTCAACTTTGAGATTCTCAACCGAGATATTAACTCCGGTTGAATAAGTTAATGTTTTGCTCAACTCTGAGACTTTCAACCGAGATGTTAACTCCCATTGAATGAGTTGATGTTTTGGTCAACTCTGAGATTCTCAACCGAGATATTAACTCCTATTAAAAACTGAGATGTTTTACTCTGGTTATTTTCGTTGATGATTTGTTCAAAAATGTGATTTTAACCGAGATGTTTTACTCCGGTTAACGTGGTTGATGATTTACTCAACTTTATGCTGGAAACCGCGATGTCTTTTCCGGTTAGATAAGTTAGATAAAGTGGTTAGTCTTGCCGATGTATTTTGACAGTCGACATTATCTAGCATGAAGAACGTGCAAACACTTGAAGAAAATGGAGCTTTTTCATTGATGTGAAAAGTAATTACAAGAGGAGGGGCGGATAGCCTGGTTACATGTGTAAACCAAAAAGGAAGAAAGAAGACAAAGAAAACTAAGCTAGAGAGGAAAGGTCAGTGAATTCGTCCTCGGCTGCCTCCAGGTTGACCGTTGGTGTTTGGTCTTGGACATCGGTCTCCGTTTGGCCAGGCTGAACTGTGTGATTTTCCCCCTCCGCATTTTCCTCAGTT